CCACCGCTCCAACACGTCTCTGTGTAATAATATGCAACACCGTACGACTTCAATTAAAAGCAGGGTCTCCTTTATTAGCCTGGTGTGTAATAGGACTTAAAGGCCCAAATAAAGGCAGGTTGAGCTCAGGGATCAAAGCTGTTAATTTAAGTTTTACAGGTAGTTGTAGTTGGTTGAGGAGCTGCATTATTGATTAAAATGCTGAATATTTTCTCCATTAATCGACTGATTGTTCTGAAAATAGCAAGAAATGCTCAGGAATTATAAACAAAACTATTTGCATGAACCAAAAACTCTCTGTTTATTAAAGAATAAAGTGTTTAATATAGAAAATATAGAGGTTGGTGTTCAAAATCTGTTATTACGACACATTATTTCAATTTGTTGTCTTTGATACGTAACAAATCCTCCATAATCAATGTAAATAAATCAGCTATTACCTGAAAGTATCCAGTTATTTGAAATGAAAGATGTGATTTAAGAGGAATTTGAATGTTTAAAGTAATTATGAGGTCAGGATGGGAAAGAAATCATTGTATTTAAGTTAGAGGGTGAATTTATGTAACAGTTTGTTTTCAACTGTTTCTTGCCTTATTGTCTCTATTATTGATTGCAAATTGAAAGAAAAATACTGTAAAACCTCAAATAATAGACCCAGGCTTTTATTTTCTTTAGTCACTGAACTTAACCTGCTTTTATTTGGGACAGGCCTTTAATTCCAGTGAAAAGATGGGAAATGACATCGAACTGTTTATTTAAAGCAGTATGAATATTACTTCTATCAAACAACATATCAATTACTAGCTTATATACATCCAGAAAACTTCTATAAAATCTACACCAGGCTAGTAAAGGAGACCTGCCTCTAATTAAGGGTTTACTGTTTTAAAATGAGCTTTTTATAAAAGTTCCTGTAAACATTTGAGACCATTGTTCTGATATTCAAACAACTTTTGCAATGAATAATGTTTCTTATAATAGTCCTGATGCCAAACCATACAGACCTTTTTCACAGCGACCAGTTTGACATGAGATAGTTGGATAAACACCAGCGTTACCAATGACACTAATACAGTGTGCTGCTGTTGTGCATGTTGGCTCACTGGAAAGGCTCTGCTACACTAAATGGAACTGAACCTTAATTAGTATTATTGGTAAAACCTGTATTTACCCTACTATTCTATGTGAAAATGGCTACTGTGAAAAAGGTCTACTGTAAATCAAAGTTTGTGCACTTTTATGTTCCCACTGTGCTCCTACTTCCCACATTTTGGATATTTAATGATGGATTATAAGCATATTCAAAGGGATACTGAGCTGTAGGACTAATATTTCTTAATCTTTTCCCGCTTTAATACTAAAAAAAGCATTTAACAAATTTTTAAGGCTTTATGTTCTTATGTTTTTATATCTTTCTATGTTCGTGCAGTCATAGAACGAGTTGACAGATCTAAAATGTTAGCAGATGGGAAAAACATCAGCTACATCAGTCAGCGAGAGAGAGAAGAAACAACTGTGATCAATAATTACTGTAACATCTCTTCCACCTCGTCAGCGTAGAAAAGACCGAACAACAAGCCGACAGCATCACGATGGAGCTCTGAATGCTAAATTAGACGAGCTGGGAGGAAACTGCTCCAAACAGCAACATATGAGTCACAGCAGGCTTTAAATGTATTCTCTCTCTCTGTTCTCTCTCTCTCTCTCTCTCTCTCTCTCTCTCTCTCTCTCTCTGATTTCTGTAGGTTTACAGGCTGGCTGGTTGTTGCTCAGCAGTCTGACAGATTAGCTCCCACACTTTCTCCAGCAGTGACAGATCTCCTCACGCCTCGGTTTGAGGATTACAGCAGCAGGTCAGCAGGCCGTACTGTCACCGGCTGGAGGAGGAGAGTATTCAGTCGTACAGTTGGTAATGAAAACTATTCAGAGACAATACAAGAATGATTCAGGCGTAAACACAATGTTGACCTTGAGTCAGATTATTATTTCCAAGGTCAAAAACATTCAGGCTCAGTTGTAAGAAACTGTCGAAGGGTGTATCCAAGAAAGGATTCAGTGAAGAAATAACCAATAAACATCCCAAAAATATCCAAGAATCTACCCTGAAATTGTCAATAAATAACCAATATCTATCTCTCTATGTATAAAACATGTCCAGAAACTATTTCACAGTGGGTCTAAAAGCGGTCCAGAACCACAGATGCTGGATCCAACAGACGGAGCACAAACACAGTCACCCTGGAAACACCCAGTAAAACTCCCCGAGGAGGAGAAGGCCTCCGACTTATTTACCAGACAAACAACAGTAAACACGTGTGTGTGTGTGTGTGTGTGTTGTGATGGTGATGGGGGGGGGTGTAAGCGAGGACCCCCCACATTGACGTGGCTCAGATCTGAAGTGCTTTTTAAACAACATTAGCATTAAAAACACATCCGTCTTTAAACTCCAAAAACCCCAAAAAAGTGTTAAAAAGTAGAAAAATCCTCTTTAAATCTCTTCCATGGCTCAGAGAGAGAGAGAGAGAGAGAGAGAGAGAGAGAGAGAGAGTTTACTGCTGTGTTTTACAGTCAGGGAGGGGGGGTCAAGCAAAAGCAAACGGCTGGCTGAGCATCTCTGCGGTCACCATGGCAACGGAAAGCGAAAGTGGTCCCTTAAAAAAACGGCGGCCTGTATCCCAAATGTCAATCCTGCTGGTATCTTCACTGGAGCTCCAGGGCAGGAGGGGGAGGGGGACGAGGCTGAACACTCTACCCGCTGAGGGAGCACCGCAGCCTGGCTACAGTCTGCTCGGGGGTGGGGGGTAGTTTTACAGCAGCACATTGTTAAATTAACAGTTTTCTGAATGGAGTCTGGTGTGGCAGACTCTCCCATGCACACGGGCAAAGAAAGACCAGTAACAGGAGCGTTCATGCCTCTAAAGAGTTCAATTAAAAGGTAATTTTAAGAGTCGTAGTGTTAAAATGTGGATGAAAAGTTATGTTTTGAGTGTCATCATTCGCTCGGTGACACAGTTCTTTCTGTGACCTGCTTCTTGAGTTGTATGTTGTTGAACCATGTGAGGTTCAAAACCCCCCCGAGGCCTTCAAACACCTGCTAACTAATGCAGTAAAACGTCTCTCTGCAGGTGCAGTGTTAATTCAGCTCAGATCAGTGCTGATAGATTCATTTATTAGGAGATTGGTGGAGAGTTTATTGATTTTTTTGTTCTTTATAGACTGAATATGGCTGTTCTTTTTTTTTTATGGTTTTTGATTGATGATCAGACATAAGCAGTTTACTTTGTGCACTTTTCTTCTCATTATAGACTCCCAAAAATAAGATTATCTGATTTGTTCCAGTCAGAGTGAAGCTCCAAGTCACCAGAGACGCCATATGAGAAGCTAAACTTACTGTTTTATAGGGGAAAAATACATTTAATCACCATAAAAACTCACTAATTTCACCACTGAGAGAATATTATAGAGAAGATGAAACTTACAGTAGTCTTTAATGTTTAAACTTTCTCATTTTTTACGGGGATTTCCACGTGTACACTGTTATATGGCAGGAAAAAGGTAGGTTTTACCTTTTTTTTATCAGTTTTATCCACTAAAAGGTTATAAAATTAGTGTAAAAATGTTGTCAGTAACTATTAAACTATATTAGGCTATAAATGATCCCGGCCACTCAAATTAAAGCAAAAACAGTAAATATCACACATGTAGCATTTAGTCAGTATATAGACAGACTTCCAGTGTCTGCAGGTTCAATGATATTTATTCCTCTGGGTTGTGAGATAAAACACATTAACAACGTCCAGATTCATTACAGACTCAGTGAGGAGCTCCATAAAAGCAACTATGATGATCAATGAATCCTTTTAGTAATTTTATAAAGCAAATAAAACCAGCTTGTTAAATGTAAATAAGTTCTTATTTTCACTCTTATATAACAGTAAACTGATGTTTGAACACGTCAACATGCTCTCTGGGCACGTGCAACAGGCATTATTTAATTAAAAGACCAGATGATTCACTTATTAGTACAGAAAATAATCAATAGTTTGATTGATAATGAAAATAATCATTATATTTTTTGCATTATAGTGACGCTACAGTGGAAAAACACCAATAAGCATCACAAATACTCATTAAATGACACTACTGAGAGGATATAAAGCACTTTACAGAGTGATAGAGTGACTATAAATACATGTTTTATATATATAAAAAGATATAAAGTGTTTTAGAAGCAGAAATACTGCAGATAACTACAGGAATATTAGAGAAACCCCACAGACACACTGTAATAACCAATATGTGAATATTGCATTAATACTGCAGCAGAGGGCCAGAAAAAGCAATTACAGCTCTAATAAACAGCAAAGATCATCAAACAAATCATTTAAAGAATATTATAGTAGTTAAGTAGATGAAGATAAAGCACCATAAATAAACTTAAATGAATAATATGGATATTGTAAGAACTCAACAGGAGTGTAAACAGCAGAATCTATAGCTTAATATGGACTCACTGAATACATATTGATACAGCCCAGATACACAATAACCCCATTAAACACCACAGAGCCAAAATAAATAAACTCACTATTCAGTATAAAACATCAAAAACTAACTGGAGGAATATTCTAGAAATATAACAGACACATAAAATGATGTGAAAGTGTATGGTACATTAAACTATCAGGAATATTACACACAACATTTAACACAATAAAGTCAGTTTAAGTGTCACACAAACACTGCCGAAATACTGTAAAGATCTGACACTACAATATAAACCACTATTGGAATATAATACAGGCTGCTTGTAGGCTTAATCCAAAAAAACGGTGGAAATTTGAATGTAGTCTGGTTGGTGTGAAGTGTCACCGTGTTTAATATCGCGTTAGCCTGCGGAGGTAATTCCGATCAGCGGTGAAATGAACCGACTGTCACAGTGAAATAAACAGAGCTGAGAAAAGGATAAAGAATCGGTTGTAATTCACACCAAAACTCACCGGAGAGAACGGAACCGGGTGCACGGACGCTCCTGCGCAGAACCTCCGTTTGAAAACGTCCAAATTTACAACAAAACTAGATTTACTGATCCAGTTTGTCTCCAGCTCGCATCCACAGGCAGCGCGCGCTGAGCAGCCGACCGACACACTGACACCGGCTGTGTGTGCGCGTGCGAGTGCGCGCGTACAGGAGAGAGAGAGAGAGAGAGAGAGAGAGAGAGAGGTGGGGACCCCAGCCAGTCTGCGCATGCGTGATCACTCAGGTGGAAGGGAAGGAGCTTTCTCTCGTACACGCCCACCTGCCAGGATACACACACACACACACACACACACACACACACACACACACACACACACACACACACACAGACACATCCTTACCTCCTTTAATACATCCTTTATAAAGTCATGAATATCAAATGATTAACACATGGTGTGTGTGTGTGTGTGTGTGTGTGTGTGTGTGTGTGTGTGTGTGTGTGTGTGTGTGTGTGTGTGTGTGTGTGTGTGTGTGTGTGTGTACAGCACAGATAAGCTCAACCAGCCCCGCCCTTGGCAAAAAAACCAAACAGTCAGGCTTCCCTCTTCACACACACACACACACACACACACACACACACACACACACACACACACACACACACACACACACACACACACACACACACACGCACACACACACACACACACTCATCGTTTCATGCGTCAGCGTGAATCTGCTCCTTACGCTGCTAAAAAACATGAAATATGATCAATAAGCAAATAAATGTGAAGGTGACATTAACACAAACTATTCAACATCTGCTCCCCAGAAGACTGTGTTAAATAAAGCAGTTTAAAAAAGCCCAAAAAGTGAATGTACCCTGGTGTGAGTATAAACCTTGACTTTAGTCTCATCTGACCTCTGACCTGCAGTACAGTTCTGAAGGTCATACAGTCCAGACAACAAGTTAAACACTTTAAATAATAAACTTTAGGACATAAGACAAACAACTTCTCTCAGTTAAGAAGTTTATTTAGAATTGTATAATTAAAATAATACTTGTACAGGGATCTTGTTGGATTGAGAAGCCACAGTCAGCGGAGTGCTGTTACTGACTTTTCTCTCCCCAAAAGAGTAGTGACCAAAGGTTACAAGAGGTTATATCTGTTTTACATTAAGCAATGTGATTGGTGGACTATGTGATGGGAGGCAACCGTGGTTTAGACTCGGTGCATCCTCGTTGGTGGTCAGACTGGTCCCAGTCTCTTGGCACACGACCCAACCAATTCCAAGAGACAGCTCCCTAAAAGAAAATGAATTATTCCACCCTGCTCTCCCTAATAACTGAATATTACTTATGAAACTAGAGCAGCGGTCAGATCTGGGTGCCTCCGACCTTGGAGATAACCACTCTTCCTCCCCCGGCCAGGTGTCTGCAGCTAGAGTAACTCAGGCCGAGATGAGACTGTGTCTCTGTGCTTCTTATCTTTGTGTACTAGCTTTAAAGAAATGCAGGCTTTCACATCTATATGTATTAAAATATATTAAAATGACTCATCTCAAAATCTAAAAAGTGAATGTACCCTGGTGTGAGTATGAGAGACCTCAAACTATGTCTTTAGTCTCATCTGACCTCTGACCTGCAGTACAGTTCTAAGAGTTTATACAGTCCAGACAACAAGTTAATCAACACTTTCCCGAGCACTGCATTTGGGTCCAAAGAGGAACCACTTAAAAAAGGAGAGAGAGAGAGAGAGAGAGAGAGAGAGAGAGAGAGAGAGAGAGAGAGAGAGAGAGAGAGAGAGAGAGAGTGAGAGACAGAGAGAGGGAGAGAGACAGAGAGAGAGAGACAGAGAGAGTGAGAGAGAGAGACAGAGAGAGAGAGAGAGAGAGAGAGAGAGAGAGAGAGAGAGAGAGAGAGAGAGAGAGAGAGAGAGAGAGAGAGAGAGTCTTTGTTGTGAGAAACTTTATTCTGCTGTTGAAATGTTTGGGAAAATTAGCCTGGATGCAGCAACAGCAGCACACATACACACACACACACACACACACACACACACACACACACACACACACACACACACACACACACACACACACACACACACACACACACACACACACAGACACACACAGACAAACAGTGGAGTCCGGTTTGTGTGTCGGTGTTGCCTGGTGAATAATTGCTGCTCTTTAAAGCAATCAGAGCAACACAACCACAAACAGACCAGAGTCTTATTCTGAAATCACTCAGTTTAAAGACAGAAACACACACACACACACACACACTCTCTGCATACTAATCCAAACTGTGATGGTGACATACATGTTTTATTTCAGCTGTATTTTTAAATAAAGTTGAACTAAAGTCCAGTTCTGTGAGTGTGGACACAGACGTATCTCAGTGGTTGGGTTTGAGGTTAAAGGTCAAAAATTGAGATTTTAACATCTGCAAAGAAGATAAATATGAAATTAGAAGAAGAAACTGGATGTTTACTGCAGAATAATGTTAGTCTGCATTGTTGTTTCTTGGAAAAATTGTGGAAAAAATGTAATAAATTGTCTTTATATCATCTTTATTTATATTTGTCTCATACTTTGTTTATTGTTTTGCACCAATATAGACGCATTCCACGTTCGTTAAACTCAAACAAACAATAAAACCGATTCTGATCTTTACAATTAACATTATTTTCTGTTGTTTTATTGTTATTAAATAAATATTTTACAAGTAGCTTTTGAATCACGTTCACATTATCTTGTTTTCTGTTGTTTTAGACCCAGAAACTCTTTAATTTACAGTCATAAGAGTTCTAATTACAGTTGTTGTTCTGTTCTTTGGCTTCAGATAATGTTTATTTATAAGCCTTCATCCACAGGAATCTTCTCCATATGTGTTGAATAATATCTTGCAAATCTTTACTTAAAAGGAAACTTAATAGAACAGCTGTGTCTTAAGATCTGAACCTCTTGTTCCTTTCCAACATTTCACTGTAACACCACAATAAAATCTTAAATATCATAAGATTAATGCCAGAAAGTTTTAGAGTGAAAGTGAAACCCAAACTGTGTCTGTGGAAAACACCTGAAATCTGAAAGTTTTAACACTCACATGAAACCAAAGCTGATAAATAATAATTACAGTTACTAATCTCAGATCACGGACTTTTGCTTTTGATAGATTTATTTGGCAGTTTTGCCACATAAGATACAAACATTTCAACATTAAAACAATTTATTTGTTATATATACATTTTGGTCCTTGTTATATAATTCAAATAAAAATGACTCAATTCCCATTTAAACTTTGGTCTGACAGAAAAGGACTGCGGGCTGTTTTTCAGGGTCAGCTGTTCACTGAGAGGATTTCCTCAAACGTTTGTTATTACGAGGATGAGGATCAGTCCGCTGGAGGAAGGCCAACACTGAAAACCCCTCATCATCATCACTTATCATCCCCCAAACTTTCCCTCCACAGTGACTCGCACAGACGGCGCTGCTGCTTTTACTTTTTGTCTCACAGTGGTGGAAAACAAACAAACTTTTAAAGGGAAATAGCACAAAATTTAAAAATCAACCATAATTTTTTACTGTGATGTACGATATGAAATAGACAGTATGTGTAATTATTTCTCTTTTTAGTTCTCTATTGATCACAAAGAGTTCAAAATTACATAATAATTTAGAAAACAACTCACTAGCTATCTTCCAGGGCTTTCAACCTCATCTCCTGGTCTTCTTTAGTGAGTTTAACTCCATCAACTTACTGGCTTTTTTCTTTTTTTCTTATCAAAGTTTTTCTATTTTGAGAAAACTTGATCTTGAAGGAAGGTGCAGTTGAAAGTCTGGGGAAAAGCTAGTAAGTAAGTTCCTTGAGTACCGTTTCCAAGGTCAAAAATGAACTTTCGGATTCAAAATCTTCATAATTATATTAAACAAACAAACCACCGATCAAAAACAGTTTGTTGGGATCACAAAAAACTTTTTATTAGCTGAAAATTTTAAAAATAAAGTAAATTTTTGCCAGTTTTCTCTCTTACAGTTTAAAGTAAAACCCTGTTTTTGGTCTCAAACAAATCACAGGAACCACCGTTACTTCATTTTTAGATTGAGTGGAATTTCCCTTTAAGGCAACACTGAACTCAGTTGGGACATTAGCAGTGTACATATATTCTTTTTTTAAAAGGTGAGGTTTCTGAGACATTATTGCACAAAAGCATCCACAGTCATTGCATAGATGATGTTGTTGTCAGGCCTGAGGTACAGTGACACACAAACATCTTCGCACATATCAACAAAAACAAGTCCGGAAAGGAGAAAATTCACATATTGTATCACAGGAGATATTTAAAGGCAGATTACGCATTGAGTGCAAAGAGTGCAAGGACATTCAGCAGGTGGATAAAATAACAACAGTTTGACATTATGATGCAAATTGTCAAAGCGTTATTTTGTCCACCAAATAGTGAACAGAAGAATCAGAAGACAAAAATTACACAAAGGCGACACATTTATTCAGTATTTTCAGCTAAATGTGATATAATGATTCAAAAACTAAAATTCTTTTGGCAAATTTGCAGTGTGTAAGAGTATATTGGTTTAAACATGAACGATGGCTCAAAATAATGAAGCCTTTTATTTGGAGGACGATGAACATTTATTATTTGGCTGCTGATGAAGGATGTCAGTGGCCTTTCTTTACCAATAAACAAAAAACATGGACAGCAACAAGCAACTTTATTGTGAAAAATTAATCTCTATAGACAGATATCTGCACATGAATGCAGAATCTGCAGAAAAGGGACAAAGATTTTGGCATCAGAAACGTTCTGGTTTCGGTTTGTAGTGCGAGTACTTTCGATCACGCCTGAGCGAGCTTTGGTTGCCTGCAGGTAAACAGACAGAGGTGGAATGTATTGGCTGGAAAGGAAATCTCTGAGCCGATCGGCTATCATCTGACGATTATTTTGCTTTTTTAAAAAATGTATCTGTTTACAGAGATTAGCCAAAATGTGTCTTTCTTGTCATTCTTGTGTGTGAGTTTCTGATCGGACTGCAGAGGAAGTTTTGGCCCAGATATCGGTCAGTATGATAGCTAATTAAGTGGTTTCTTACTGTGAAACTCTGATAAAATGAATATATATTCTATGAACTGGAATGTAACTGGAGTGCATTGAGAAGTACCAACCACTGTGGCTGGTGGACACAATTTAAGTTTGAGAAAAACTGTTGTGGTTGAGGTTTAAACTTCAAAAGGGGCTTTTAGACTAACAATATTATATCATTAGATAGAAGAGACAGTTAATGAACACCTAAATCATGACTACTGAAGAAGTATTGCCTGAAATATTGGCGACAACTAACTTTTTTCACCAATGAACGAGGCATCATCGTCGACGTATAGTGACATTTTTTGGTTCGTTAGTACTATTCAAATTGGTCTTTGCAGGTTGCTGAGCTTGAAATGACCAACAGCCAACCAGACCAGTGCTACTGAAACTATGTAGCTGGTAAGTTAACTTTATGGGTGGCCATCCATCATCTGTCACTTTCACCAGATTTTTCACAAGCTACTTGATCCAAACACTGGTGGTCCCGATTAAGTTTCTGAAAATGACTGATATAATGGAATAAAGTTTGTTTCTGTAGATTTATCATTCTGTTGGTTTAGTCTTGGACATGGTCTGGTCCTCTTGCGTGGAGCTCATAGAGTGGTGATATAGAGAAACATCTGTTACCTCACCAATAATCTTTGGCACAGGACAAATTAACCAGAGAAGTTTCATTTTGGCCTTTTAGCAAATAACTTCTTGTATTAACATTAATTAGCTTTAGCTGAATATGATCTGCTGTTATTTTAACCGGCAGAATTGATGATCAGCGCCGGCTACAAATGAGAAGCTGCTACGAACCTGGACCCAGATCCAAAACAGGACTATCTTAAGGTCAGAGTTGGGGATCGAACCAACCTCTGTGGACAGTGAAGCTGTTTTCCTGAAGTGGAGTTAAGGCACTTTTTTGTTCCCGACTGCAGTGGCTGAGGATTTTTAAAGTTCAAAGAAAGGCTTAGTGCCTCACAGAGGATTAGATGGATTTACTCCCCAACACACTGAGACAGAGGCAAGAAAACCAGGAGGGGTACATATGTGTGTGCCTCTGTTAAACAGGTCAGAAGTCACAAGTCTGTGAATGTACGTATAGTAAAGAGTTTCTTTTGTCCCTCAATTTTTGTTCAGAATAACATAATTTTCAACACATTCCAAGACTTATATGCAGTTTTACAACACTTTAAGACCTGGAAAGTGATAAAATTCCACCTCCTCAAAGCCTTTTCAGACCTGCAGGAGATATATTAAGTATGTCCAAAATAATTTTCCCTCTAAACTATCAAATTCCCTGTTTCTGGTGCAAACATTCAGTTTTCCAGATGCTGGAAATGAAACCCACAAACTCCAGTTCCACTCTAGTATAAAAAGACTACCTACCCACCGGACTGACTATCCCAAATTTCACATCTGTCCCAACATTTCTAGTCCAAAAATCCTAAAACAATCTCTCTCTCCCTAACTTTTCCCACAATAGTGTCCATTTATCCCAAAACACCTTTTTTCCAAACCCACATCTGTCCACCTGCCATGTGACCAGGTTTGGTTGTTGTGTCAACTTTCCTCCAGCCAAGAGGGGTCGTCCACACTGGCGTTGTTGAGGTGTTCGCTGGCCTGACGCATGTTTTGCTCCAGGAAGCTGTGACACGATAAACTGTGAGCGGCAACGGCGCCGTGAAGCAGCCACAACTGGTTATGGAGGACTTTGACCTGCGGACAGAAAGCGACAATGAAGGATTCATCAACTCCAAACCAGATTTTCAAAACCAAAACACACAAACTAAAGACTTTACACTCGAAGAAGACGTGTTTCCAGGAATCTCTTACCTTGTTCTCCTCCAGCAGCTTCACTTTGACGGACAGGTCGTCTCTGATCTTCTCGTACTTCTCCCGCTGGCACTGAAAGTTTTTCTGGGCCTGCTCCAGTTTGGGGAGGGTGATGGCGTCACGGGGCCCGAGGTTCAGCTCCTCCAGGTCGACTCGGTACGCGTCGTACTCGATCCTGGGAGGAATTTACACAGTCATCTACAGCAGAGGTTTCCTCATAGTGACAATATTCTTATGGTTTCATAACGGAAATGAACATTGACAGATAATTACTGCACAAATATTATTATTACTGTGTTCTTGGGGCCCGGTGGCAATACCACAGATCTACAGCTGACAACAGATTATTTCCTGCTCCTGTTTGCAGATATTAGTCTTTCTGTGTCTTCTCCGCTGTTGATTGGGTAACACCTGGCTGACCACACAGCTGACACGAAACACCCACCTGGCAGCGTCGTACTTCTTGGCGTTGATCATAGTGTCCTCGATGGTTTTGTTGACCAGGGTGTTCATGTCGGACGTGAAGGCGTTAATGGCCTCCGCCAGAGTCTCGCCGCTCTTACACAGAAACTTCTGAGCTTCTGCATTCAGACCAAACTCCACCTGACAGAGAGAGAAAGAGAGAGTGTTTTCACTGCCTGATCCATCATCGCTGCCTGATTACTGAAGCAGTTGATGTTCCCGTCTGAGTAAAGACGCTACAAGCTACAAAGAATCTCAAAACTGAGTTGTCGGTTGTCATTGCAGCAGTGAAAACACTTTTTAAAGACTCACGTGCAGTTTTGGTGTTTTGATGCTGAGATCGCTGAAGGCGTCCCCCAGGGTCTTCTGGGTAACTGTGAACTGAGCGAGCTGATTGGCCAGCGTCTGAGCCAGCTTGGTCACGTTTTCGTAGCGTTGTCGGTCGTCTCTGAGCAGCTCGAGCCGAGGCCCCAGGTCCAGGTCCACCGTACGAGATCCACGACCGAGCTTCTCCGACAGAGCCTGCCTGGTGCACTGCGGGGAGAGAGAGTGTCACTATTGATCAGACTGATGGTTATTGATTATATCGGTTACCGACGAAAAGCAACAGAAAGTCCGGTCTCACCTTATAGGTGGTGATGCTCCACTTGCGGACTCTCTGCAGCTTCTCACTGGCTGGGTTCCTGTTGTTGCCTTGAACAACCACAGGTCCACTTCCTGGTTGCTGTGGGGTCACTGGGAGGTCTGAAGGTGAGGTCAAAGGTCAGTGGAGGGTTATCAGGGTGAATTAATATATGCAATATAATGCAAACAATCAAATTCACACTTTTACTCCCTCACTACCTTTGCTCGGCCCAGTTTCCATGGTGACCTCTGACATGGCCTCAGCTGGACAGGAAGTGACGGTGTCGTCGGTGTGGTTGCAGTTACTGTTTGTTTCCTGTAAAGAAACATGAGTTTAAAGGAGTCAGATACAGTGCTGGTCCCAGAGCAGTGACTGGAGGCTTTTAGTTCAAAGCTCCAAAAACATCAACAACAGAAGAAAGTGAGATAAAAGTTAAATATTCTGATTCCGGATTTTCCTGTGAAAACTCAAAGAGTACATCCGGTTCCTTCCTAGTAACCATTACTCCCCCGAAACTATTTGTTTCTTTTATTTCCAGTTCATCACCACACTAACCTCAAACTGACAATTAGTCTCATGTTTTTAGGCCTTTCTTCGTTATCTGTGATGCAAAAAACACATTAAAAACATTAAATCTCGCACCACAGAGCATCTCTCCTGCCGGGCTGCTGCAGCCGAATCATCGGGTTTTCGGGGGCAGCATAAATCATCAGTTGATAATGAGAAATTCTTATTAAGTATTATTCCAATAATTAAATTATAGCTGATATATAATATAATTAATTCTTAAAACGTTTGTTAATCTTTTAAGGTTTTTGTTGACCTTGAAATGACCATTTTAACAACAGTGTCGTCAGTTATATTCTCAACCTTTCTAACCATTAAGTGTGTAAAAACTACAGTTGATGAACTTTTTAATTGGGGAAATAAATTTATTGTCCATTTCAGGTTTTTCCACAGGTCTGTGAACTCCGACCTCTCGATGGAGGAAATAAACTTCTTTAGCCGACTGAAGTAACACCTTGAGAAGCTAGTTTGACTGCAAGGTTGTAGGTTAAAATCCCATTCTCCCTGCCTCATCAGCACTTCAGCAACTGATCTAGAGATACATAAAAAGCTGATCAGCTTTAGGGGTTTTCTAGCCACTTTCCATTCTGGAATTTCACATTTCCAACAGTCCTTGAATGCAGCGTGAGCCTCACTCCCTAGAACAGGAACATCGGCAGCAACCGAAGGCAAAGAGGTCAGAGGTCGGAAGTCGAGGCACCGGGATGACACTTGGGATCACCGTGGGAACCGGGGGTTGCCTTGCGGGGGCCAATCAGAACCCAGATCAAAAGGTTGCGAGGTTGCCACGGAGATGATGGCTCCCCACTGTGATTGGCGGGCAGGCAAAGAGGTCGGAGGTCACCGGAGCAATCAAGACAGGAAATAGCCACCTGACGCAGATGAGAGGTAACGACACACACACACACACACACACACACACACACACACACACACACACACACACACACACACACACACACACACACACACACACACACACACACACACACACACACCTGTGGAGGGCTCACCGGGCCGGAGGAATTTGGCTCAAAGTTGTTGTGTCGCATTGAAGAGACAGCGAGGCATGTAGTGACGCAAAACGAGTCCCCCCCCCCCCCCACACACACAGACACACACACACACACACACACACACACAGACGCACACACACACACACACACACACACACACCTTTGCTCTTTCCAAAGGTTAGGGAAGCTGGTGTGCGACAGGGAGGCTGCCGGTTTGTTCGATGAGCTCTAGAAACGTTATTTTGCACCTGTGGCTCCGCCGATTGTTTCACTCTCTGTTGCAGATTCGGGTTTACCTAATGTGTTAGTACACTGACCTTTAGACTAGTGGTTCTCAAACTTTTTATTTATAGTTTATGAAGCTGATCTGATTGAGGGGCCGAAATACAGTTAACGTTTTCCAGGACAACAAGGATTATTTCCACATTATTTGGTCATTTTAATCAACTTTCAGGTGTTTTAATGAAGAACACGAGTCTCTAAATATCAAGATTTTCCAGCACTGAAGACTTTTCTCAATGGAAAACATGTTTTCGCTTTTCTCCAAAGGTTTAATACGTTTGTTTCGCGAATGCCCCTGTCTAGAACCAGTGTTGTGAACATGGAGGACCCGCTCTCTCTGGCTCATTCTAAGGTAACAAAAACACAATAGTTCTTATATTCAGGTGATTAAACATTAATGAAAACATAAATATAAATATTATATTCCAACAGATCCTCAATGTGACACACTTGAAGTATTTTTTATGAATGTGGATCCACTCAGGCGTCACACAACGACCCCTCTTTGTCACAAACTCTTAAACTCAGCTGATGATGACGAGCTACAAACTTCCCTCCGCACGCAGGTGAGTCACCTGTTGACATCGTGGCGGCGGAACCACTCCTGTTCCCTGCCATCGCTCGATCACCATTAACCACAACAATGGTCGTCTTATCGGACAAACAAACACTCGCTGTCGCTGTTTGTCCCACCAGTTTGCTTTGGTCGTCGTGGCGACTGCTGATAACATTGTAGGAGGTGCTAGTTAGCCACTGCACGCTGTCCCTTATATTATATTTAGCCGGTTGCATAATGTGTGTGTGGAGTAACTGTAAAGGTCTGTTTTAAATATGTATAATACACTGATAACACACTCTGTTTGAGACGTGATGGGGTGAAAATCAAACATCCTGTGCTCAATGAGAAGATTTAATATGCAACATTTCTGCATTAAAATGTATGAAAACACCGGATCTATGTTATATATCTACTTTATATTATTTAAAATGTTTAAACTCAGAGAAATCTGTCATTTTATTCAGGTAACGGTGCGTTTAATTTGTTCACTTTCAGGTCCTCTAGCTGTTGCAACGTCACGGATACGTCGGAGAGTGAAGTGAATAAAACTTTAAAAAGGTTAAAAAGTTTTAAGCAAGCGGCTCCTGCAGTTCCTCTAACGGCCACTAGAGGCTGGCTCCATAAGGCCTCATATTATAAATAAACTTTACAGCCTGATACAAACAACAGTTTTGGTCTCTACAGCTAATTTACCTGTTAATTGTACAGAGGGTTGAGTTTATATATAATTCACCTGTTTAAATGATATTAAGGATTAAAGTTAACACACAGTAACTAGAGGTTTCCCCGCCGTCTCACCGTGGGAGGAGTCTCCTCCTCGGTGACGCCGGACGTCTGACTGACGCCTCCTCTCTGCTCCGCCCCCTCCATCCTCTTCCTCCGCCCACTTCTCTTCTTCTACTTCCTCCTCTGGAAACGAAACAGAACACATCACATGTACAACGTCTCTTTGTATGTTACGGACAATTACCATAATTAATGTTTCCTGATGCTGTTTCTAGATAATTATTTTATCTCAGTCTTTTATTACATTTAACAGCTGAAATTTATTCATATAAATGTTTAGATTTTGGTTGTTACAACCGAAATAAAGTTAAATATCCAAACATATTCATCACTGTCAGTTGGAGGGAATTTAACCCTCAACCCCGTCAGCGTTAGTGTGTTTAGCTTTGTTATATATCCTGTTACATTACCATGTTAGTTAGAGTAAACATATATTTATACCGTAAAAAACTCCTAATAATGGCCCGGGCTGCGTTTATTTGCTTAAATCACTGAACTCCCCCTGCCTTTATTTGGGACAGGCCTTTATTTGGGACAGGCCTTTATTTGGGACAGGCCTTTAATTCCTTTAGCACAAAACTAAACTAAACTCTAACTGCTGCTTCTCTTGTGTTTTTGTTCAGCAATTTGACAACTAACATGATGATTATGATGCTCCAGAGGTTTTTTTCCGTCTCTCTCGTTTACCGTGTTACCGGTAATTCAGAATGAATTAACGTTTTACTTTGTCGTTGATCGTTTTAGTAAAATATATTGAACGATTGAATTGTGGAGAATCTATAACTAATCTAATTCATATTGACAGAAGTTTAAACATTTATATTTGTGTAGGAGATCAAAACGACGTAAAACTCTCTCAAGCAGGCGACCTGGTGGATTTTAAGAGGTTTTATACATCGAGATGATTTCTATAAAATCCACACCAGGCTTTTATAAGAGACCTGCGTCTATTAGGGACCCTGTTTTACGGTATATCTTGTACATTTTGGCTCTAACTGAGGGAAACTCCTCAGTGTTTCTGTGTAACGTCAGTGTGGATAAACAGCAGCACCGAGTGGTGAAAAGACACCGAACTGCAGGACCCTGTTCCTCTAATGTGGTTTCAATAAATCAGATTAATATTTTATTATCAGGCTGAAATAATCCTGTTTATTCTGATCCGGCTCATTTGGTTTTCTGTGGCAGCGGTTTGAGGATTGATTTGTTGATCCTGGGTGAATTTATCTTGAATTATAACTTGAAAAGAAGGCATGTTTTATGTTTTATGTCTTTTAGTTGAGTTTATGTCTCACAGTAGCTCTAATAACTTCACAATTATATTACATAAATAATATATATATATATCATTTATATTACATTCATATTCATTATTAATCCTAGAAAGACGTTTGTATTTTAAACAACTTCATATAAAAGCGTCGTTGTTACTAATAAAAGCTGCTCTTTTGCAGGTAAAGGACTGTTGCTATGACAACAGGTCCTTTAAAGCTGAATTTTAAACCAGTTATGAAGAAATAAAAGAAACTGGACTCAAATTATCATCATTAAAATCTGGATAACTCAAGTTAATTATGTATAAACGAAGTTAAACTACAACCCTAACACTCATATTACTGTCACATAGCGCCATCTAGTGGTCGTACAGTGGTTGTTACTGCAGCATGGAGATAAAATAAAAGTCCTTTATATTCAGAAATGTCTGAAAAACAAAAACAACCACAGAAGAAGACACATGTTGTTGCCTTTCTGTGTGAGTTTGTCTTCTTCTATGTTGTCACATTTTGAACTTCCTGTGTCGGTTATCTTACATTGTTTGTTAATAGTTTCCTGTACTGATGCTTTCTGCTTCCTCCCGTCCTCACAGAGACGTTTTATTGTTGTTTTTAATGGATAAAACTGTAATAAAAAGCTGTTATAATGGAGATAACACACCCCGACAATCACAACCGACAGCAGTGTGAATCAGAGATTTCTGCTGCTTTCCCGTCATTGGCAATAAAATAATCTCTTCATCTTAAAACTTTATTTAAAAGTGCCAAAGTTCAAACTAAAGTTTATGAGTTGTGGCAGGTTGAGCTTTGACCTCTTACAGTTCAACACAAGCTGGAAACCACCCATTTTAACGTTTAGTTCCTGCACAATGACACTAAGACTAATCATTAAAAAGCGGTAATCTTTACTTCTGCTTATCAAAAGGAAGATATATTTTACTTCTGCAGGGAACGAGTCGACTCTACTGCGACAGAAAGGGGGCCAACGTTAGCACTGCTGTCCAATTATTGAGTCTGAGAGAGCAAAAATGTGTTATTGAAGCTGTTGTTACGCTTGCTTTGGTCCCACAGCGGAGCACAGTTGCTTATATTTGCAATATTGTGATATATACAAAGAGTACAAGGTTGTGTTATTGTCATTTTACAAGGCAGGCTTCTTTAATGACAGTTTAGGTTTTAGTTTCCCTTTATTCTACTTGTAAAAACAGTAAAATAAGGCTGTGATTTGTTGATAAAAGGTAAAATGTGACAAACAGCAACACAATGAAGGATTGTAGTTCTGAAAATATGATATAAATCTTTTAGAAATCTTATAATTTTCCTCTTTTAGGCTCAAATTGTCTGTTTCTTCTCTCCCGGGCTCTAGTTTTTTTTGCTATAAATGTTGTCCAGATTTAAGGGATCACAATATGATGTGTTTACCCTATCATGCAGCCTTATTAATTAATACCGCATAACATATATCTATATATATCCTAGATACCATGAAGGGTTGAAAACTGTAGAAGGTATTTAAGGAATTTGAGTGAACTGATCATTTAATCAATGGTGTAAAGGTAAATTAGCCTATAATAATCACAACATAAATACAAAATATATATTAAATATAATATTAATATACTTGAATATTAATTTTTAAAAATATATTTAAAAATATGCCTGAAAAATAAACTAGACTGAAAAATACAAAATAAAAGTGTGTACGTAAACGTGAATTACAGTTAATAATAATAAATATTGTATAAAATATAACAAATAATTTATAGATAATGCAAAAACTAATATCTTTTAACAATATTAATTTAAAAAAAGATCAATACTGAGGAGAATAATCAATATTTATAAGCGAACTGTAAAAGTCACACATCAGTGAGGGTGCACAAACTACCGTAACACCTCCCCAGTGACGGTACAGCGCACCAACGGCCGCCAGGTGTGACAGACAATCTGGTGACAGTGTCAACATGTTCCCGCTGTAAACGCTCCCGCTCCTGAAGACACTGTGTTCCCTTGTAAAACAGGTAGCTCCGCTTCGGTTTAAACTTCTTCCACACGCACCAAAGCGACCCAACCGTGAACATATCGCCGGTTTCTGCTCGTTAGAGGCGGAATAACCGGTACTTTAACGGTTGGTGACATTAAGGTGACACATCAAACGGTTTTTTTTTTTTTTTTACCTTCACGGCTTCAAAAACTTCCACCTTTCTTCTGCTTCCTCCAACCGTCAGCTCTTCTTCCTCCCGCCGCTGGAGGTCTGTTAGCTCCTCACATTTAAACCGAGAAACTGAAGTCAAACTCTGTTTTTAAAGAAACAGAGAGAAAGAAAAGTTGTGAGGCTGAAAGGGAGGAAGAGTCGAACACACCCGGAAGTGTTTTCTAGCCGTTTGTGCGCTGGCGCGGAAGTTCGATTTGTGTCCTTGTGCTTACCGGAGGGGCGGTGACTGTGGATGAGTTTGACACACCTACAAAGAGCAGATATATATAAATACATACACATACATATAAAGATAAACATAAATATAAAGATAAACATAAACATAAACATAAACATAAAGATATACATAAACATAAAGATAAACATAAATATAAAGATAAACATAAACATAAAGATAAACATAAACATAAACATAAACATAAAGATAAACATAAAGATAAACATAAATATAAATATAAACATAAAGATAAACATAAATATAAAGATAAACATAAATATAAACATAAACATAAATATAAAGATAAACATAAATATAAACATAAAGATAAACATAAAGATAAACATAAATATAAAGATAAACATAAATATAAAGATAAACATAAAGATAAACATAAAGATAAAGATAAACATAAATATAAATATAAAGATAAAGATAAACATAAAGATAAACATAAAGATAAACATAAATATAAAGATAAACATAAATATAAAGATAAACATAAATATAAAGATAAATATAAATATAAACATAAAGATAAACATAAAGATAAACATAAATATAAAGATAAACATAAATATAAAGATAAACATAAAGATAAACATAAACATAAAGATAAACATAAAGATAAAGATAAACATAAAGATAAACATAAAGATGAATATAAATATAAACATAAAGATAAAGATAAATATAAATATAAACATAAAGATAAAGATAAACATAAATATAAAGATAAACATAAACATAAAGATAAACATAAAGATGAATATAAATATAAATATAAATATAAAGATAAATATAAATATAAACATAAAGATAAACATAAACATAAACATAAATATAAATATAAAGATAAAGATAAACATAAATATAAATATAAAGATAAAGATAAACATAAAGATAAAGATAAAGATAAACATAAAGATAAACATAAATATAAAGATAAACATAAAGATAATGATAAACATAAACATAAAGATAAACATAAAGATGAATATAAATATAAACATAAATATAAAGATAAATATAAATATAAACATAAAGATAAAGATGAACATAAACATAAATATAAATATAAACATAAATATAAACATAAACATAAATATAAAGTAACGAAATATAAACATAAATATAAAGATAAACATAAACATAAAGATAAAGATAAACATAAATATAAAGATAAATATAAAGATAAACATAAACATAAATATAAAGATAAAGATAAAGATAAATATAAAGATAAACATAAACATAAACATAAAGATAAATACAAAGATAAACATAAATATAAAGATAAATATAAAGATAAACATAAACATAAATATAAAGATAAACATAAACATAAAGATAAATATAAAGATAAACATAAACATAAAGATAAATATAAAGATAAACATAAACATAAAGATAAACATAAATATAAAGATAAAGATAAATATAAAGATAAACATAAACATAAATATAAATATAAAGATAAATATGAACATAAACATAAATATAAAGATAAACATAAACATAAATATAAAGATAAACATAAATATAAAGATAAACATAAATATAAAGATAAAGATAAATATAAAGATATACATAAAGATGAACATAAATATAAAGATAAACATAAATATAAAGATAAACATAAATATAAAGATAAACATAAATATAAAGATAAAGATAAATATAAAGATATACATAAAGATGAACATAAATATAAAGATAAACATAAATATAAAGATAGTCAGCAGTACTTAGAGTTATGAGGAAACTGTTAAAATCTGTAAATGAGTTCGATAGATAGATAGATAGGAGGTATAGTTAACTGAAGGGCAGACACATTGGAGTTTAGAGTTTTCCTCCCCTGGGTGGAGTTGAGGAGCCTGATGGCGTGGGGGAGGAACGATCTCCTCAGTCTTTCAGTGGAGCAGGACAGTGACAGCAGCCTGTCTCTGAAGCTGCTCCTCTGCCTGTAGATGGCGCTGTGCAGTGGATGCAGTGGATTGTCTCTGACTGACAGGAGCCTGTTCAGCGCCCGTCGCTCTGCCACAGATGTCAGTCTGTCCAGCACTGTGCCCAACACGGAGCCCGTCTTCCTCACCAGTTTGTCCAGACGGGAGGCATCCTTCTTCTCAATGCTGCCTCCCCAGCACACTACTGCATAGAAGAGGGCGCTCGCCACAACAGTCTGATAGAACATCTGCAGCAGTTCTTTGCAGATGTTGAAGGCCCCCAACCTTCTGAGGAAGTATAATCGGTTCTGACCTCTTCTGCACGGGGCGTCTGTGTTGGCAGTCCTATCATCCAGGTGTACTCCCAGGTATCTGTAAGTCTGTACCAACTCCACACGGTCGCCGTTGATGGTCACAGGTTCTGGGTGAGCCCTGGGCCTTCTGAGGTCCACCACCATCTCCTTGGTCTTGGTGGTGTTGAGGCGCAGGTGGTTGGAGTCACACCATGTGACAAAGTCCTGAATGAGTTTCCTGTACTCCTCCTCCTGGTCTGCTAGTTTGTATTGCAGAAGTCGAGGCTGGATGGTATTGAAGGCGCTGGAAAAGTCCAGAAATGTAATTCTCACAGCACCGTTGCTTTGGTCAATAAAATTAAATATATATATATTAAAACAATATTTCTTATATAATTGTACATATATTTCACACATATAAATAAACAGCGGTAACATAAAATACAAATATTTAAAAAAAACACAGCGTTTAGGTTAACAAAATAAAAGTCAAAATGCAACAGGTGGAATATTTTTATATATTTAGAATAAAAACTACATTGTACATATATAAATACAGACATAAACCACAACATTAACATTTATAGACAGTCAAAGTACTTTGTGCAGGTATGTTTGTGTACATGAGGTAGGACAATATATACAGAGTACACACTGTGAACTTTTACTGATGGTATTTGTATATAAATATATAATAATACTGATTGATACTGAATTAAACCTCCATTATAATTAAAATCAGGTGAGTAACGGTTATTTAACGGGCGTCTCAAAAACATTAAACAGTATAAATACATAAAACTGTAAATGTTTTAATGTTTTAATGTCAGTTTCACAGAATAAACAAGTTTTATGTGATTTGGTTTTTCCCCCTCTTCGTTGTTCTCGCGACATCTTGTGGTCCTACGAGAGTTCTCGCGAGACTCCAAAGGTTTCCCACTATGGCTTCCACTCAAACCGAGCAGCGGTTGGAAAAGTTAGTTTTGAGCCCAGAAACCTGGTTTTTACTGCCGGTAAGAGCCGCCGATAAACGTCTGTTATGATTAAATGACAGATTATAAACGCTTTGTGTCACTTGAAGCCGTTTTTTATCAAGTTTAAGGTTATTTATTTGAAAGTTGTCAGTCGTGTCAACCAAGTAAGGTTTAACGGTTTGAAGGCGAGTAAAATGACTACAATGTAAAGGGACGTTTGGTTTATAAGGACTTTATTGTTTTTAATCATTATTCAGTTTAACATGAATCTAGTTGTTTCATACTAACTTTACTGTATGTTACTAACTTGCTTCACTTTATTTAATGCTCATATGTTTGTTTTCTAGCTACATATTTGAATTTGTCAGCTATTATAACCATTATAAGCTTTATATTTTAAAAGTAACGACACTATATTCTCATAATAATGGTTAAAATAGAATATATTTATTATAAGTGACCAAATATCTTTCAGGTTTTTGGTTAACATTTAAAATAATTCTCCATGTGCTCACAATGCTGCCATATTTATATTTATTTATACTCTGTGTATTTATTCAGGCAGTGATGAAGACCAGGTCCTCGTGATGATGATGATGATGATGGGGCGAGCAGACAGCTGATGTGCTCTGAGGAGGATGAAGATGAGGAGGATGAAGCTGAGGGTGAACAGCAGCCAGCTGTTGAATCTGTCCAGAG